GTGAAACACACAGTAGTATGAAACTTCAACTGCGTGAAATACACAGCAGTATGAAAATTCGGCTGCGTGAAACACACAAACTTCACGCATGCGTGGAGTGTATGGAGTGTACGGGAGTGATTCACGCAATAGTGCGAATAGTCACGGCCATTAATTTTTCGCTGTCCAAGTTTCCAAGTATAATAATTATTACACAAAACGGTAACTAATGATTTATTTCCTGCTGAATTACATGTTCTTTTCATTCCTCTATTCTCTCCCGTTCATCATTAAAATTATTCTTCATTTGTTGTCAATTATAATTTTTTATGAGCCTTAGAAATGGACTTTTCATCTATTTCTAGGGAATTATTCACACTTTTCATTAACCCTATTCATCAATCGTCGTATTATAGGAATCATTGAATTATTTAACCGAAGTGTATTCCACCATTGTAAAACCGCCACATCTTTTCATCTCTGCAGAGTCGACTCAGCATGGACCATCATGACGATATTTGATTTCTGCAAGAAAAAAAAATAGAATAAATAGGCAAATTCGGAGAATTACAGAACTTAAAAACCGACCGTTTCCGACCGGACCCGAAAACCGTTTTCGGGCCCAACGACATAAAATATCATATGTCGCACGGCGATAAAAGCATTATCTGGCGAATGTGATTAAAATCCTCGCCTTCGGCTCGGATTATAAAGTCACATTCGCCAGATAATATTATACTTTTATCACCTGATGACATAATGTACTATTTTTCGTTTTTCTAGTAAACTAAAAAACACTTTTCGGCACGAGGTGAACGTAGCAGCAATGCAAAGTTTTAATTTCGAACAAAACGCACAAACTCTCTGCCTAACTACCAAATGTAGAAATAATTTAATTCCTATGAATGCCTTGATAACTGATAGATTAATAATTTTTTGCCACATGAAAGAATGGTGGAAAAAGGTTATAATCCCGTACACCTATAAATTATTAAATACAGATGTTCAGTTACAATTGAACATCTATATTTAATAATTTAGATATTCCACAGGAGCTGAAATTAAATCATAGGTACACAGAGATGAGCAGTAATGAATTAAAACTATCAAACACTTCGAATCGAAGAGAAATAAATAGATAATAAATAATATAAATTGAAAAAATCCATAATAAATTTGATAAATTTTAAATGAATTTTCCAGAACTATAAATGATTAGTATCAGGGAGTGGCTATCCTAATTAGATTATCCATGTTTATAACGACTTGTGACTACGGTGTGGAGGGTATCTAAAAAATCCAAAAAGACGTAGGACGTAATATTTGCATAGTCCCCTAGACGGAATACCCGCAGGAAGGTATAAAATACTCAGTGACTAAGCAAACGTCGATGTATACTCATTGCTTTTTGTGTGCATCAAAAATAAATGTGAAATAAAGCGACTTCAGTAAACACCAGAAAACCCGGAATAAACCATGACATTACTCAAACTCCCATTTCAAGCTAGAATGATTAACTCTCGTGCAGTGAATTTCTATAATTCCGCATGCCCACAATGGATTTTCCAAGTGCAACCTACTTTTACCAGATGCATCGTGAAAGTAACGGGTTAATGAGCCGAGAATTGAGAGCAGAATAGAATTCAACTCAAGGCTAGTTTTCCGATTATATTTTTTTTGTGATTATACATCAGCGATTGTCTACTATTGCAAGTATTGTGGAATCAGCTCCTGAAAGCATTCATCATTGTTCTCAGCGCGCTGTTATTTCGATTTATGATTGGAGTGAGGATTTTTTTTATCGAGTTTAATCAACTGAATGGCGCTTACTTTTTCCTCCGTGTCTCCGTGCGCAGAATAATGCTTGGATGCTGATGTATGTTGTTCCGTCGTGGCTGCAGACCGGCATGCTATCTACATCCATTGATACTGCGCCGCAGGGGTTGTCTTCGGGGCCTTCGCAGGGGCCTCCGTGCTGGAAGGCCAAGTCTAGAAATATTTTTTGGGAATTAGCGGGGTCATGAATGTCCTTGGAAAATTACATTTTCCCTGTTAACATTTTTTCATGTTAACGTGTGGAGATATTGAGATATTAAGGATGTTTGTTAAAAATCGCAAGTACTTGAAAAAAAAATTGATTTTTTTGTCAACTGAGAGATGAAGTTATTCCCTTCACTTTGATACAAATTTCAATCCACCAATCCATGTTCACTATTTAGAAATGAAATAGACAAAATGCACCAAATGCATGCGCTAACATGCGCTTATGTGGGATAGAATCATTCAAATATTTCCTCTTTTTGCCCGGGTACCCCAGATTTTTCTCTGGCCATTGGATTCAGTATGATTTTACACATTACCTTCTATTTTTATTGCAATTTTTAGAGTCTTCTAGTAGGTGGATTATCAATTTGAACATGAATTTCATAAGAGTTCGTGTATCAGGAAAAATTAGTTTATCCATTTCCGCCGAGACTATTGCGATTAATTTTTTTTTAACGTTAGAAAAGTTAGTTTTATTTGTTCTGCTGTCAGTCGAAAAAATTACAGAATTTTACTTGACCATGAAAAAGAAACACATTTACCGACAATTTACCGACACTGGCTGAACATCCTTAAGGGGTAACGGAATGCCGCTTATTTTCCAAATTTTTGAACAAATTTCCAGCCAAAAGTTATCGATATTTTTACAAATCGAAGCACATTAATCTCCAGGAGGCGTTGATGAAGAGCAATCTGCTTTGGGTTCAAATAATATTAATAATTTTGAACAGGAAATTTGTTTGAAAATGTCGAGCAAACGGGGGCTTTCTGTTACCCCTTAAATGCACAAAGTAAGTTTTATACACAGGCTCTTATAGTTATGATTAAATTGAAAATTTCACACCCCCTAAGAGAAAAAAAATGGGAAAAATTTGAAGACGTGGAGAATGATATGCCAAATGTGATGGCGACAAAAATAATGGGGTAGCGGAGTGAATAAAAGAGATATTTCAACCCCCGCAGCCATTTAGTCTTCTTTTTTTCTATTGTTGAAAAAACATTAAAAAAGGATTCTTCTTCAATCGAATTTCATCGTAAAGAATTGAACTGCGGGGTTTAACTGCGGGACTAATGTTTCCCCACATGTTGAAACATTAGTCTTGATTCTCGCGTGAGAACACGTGTTCAACACCTCATTCCTCAAATCATGGTTACAATAATCAAAGAGTGAATAACTGATGACCCACATTTATTGGAGAGAGTCTTGCACTGGAGATGATAAATACTTCTTTGTGTCTCCCCGTCATTTCCGCAGACTCGGTCCTTAGGAGTAAAATCTTCATTGACATACGCGCCATTTATTTTCTTAGCGTTCTTATTCGCTGTGACGCAGGCTTTTCCGGAAGTCGTATTACATTCAGTGTTGACCCGGACTTTGAGGTCTGAAAAAAATTAATTCTCCTACAGTACGTCAAAAAAAAAAACTTTATTTTGAGACTTATGATCTAAAATTGAAACTTTCAAAACTGCCAATTTCAGACTTTCAGAATTCTCTTTAAAGAAAAATTTCAATTTGAGTTTAAAATATTTTTCAATTGAAAAAAAATTATCTATTGAAATATTTTAAACAGTTTTTAAAGCAAAATTCTCAATTGAAAATTCACTTCGACTGGTTTTTCTGCTGTAATTTATCATTCACGAAGAGAAATGTTCAGTAAAGATTACGGAACTCACAGTTCACTTACCGTTTATGGAATCGACTAGAAAATTTAAGTGACGGTATCATAATTTTTCACAGGAGATTCAGATAAAAATTGCGGAACGCTCTGAAAAAATTCCGTGACAGTTCCGTAAAATTTCCTACAACCACATTTCGCTCCGGAATTACGGAAAAGATACGTAATTTTTATTGAATATTTCTCTCCGTGTTGTCGAAGGATTTTTCAAGTTAGAAAAACATTTTGTGCTATAATTTTCTATTTTACTCCATAAAAAAATACTCACTTGGTTTTTGACAAAGATAAATGAATGGATTCGGATATGTATTTCCATCGTCCCCGCAAACTGGATTCCACTCATTCCTCTCCTTGGAAATGTGGCATGCAAGGTCCCCATTACCAAAGATTGGGTAGACTTCGGCGACATGACAGCCTCCATCGTGTAAAATCTTCAGATCTAATGCACCCAGTGAATTTCAGTTATGGATCATTAATGATTCAGGGTAATCTCACGTTTGTTCTACATGAGATGTTGACGGCTAGGAGATTTATAGTTACCGTTGTACTTTTGCAGGCATTTTACCTGTCCAGCGTTCCCATAAGTATAACCGTTACTTCCACATACGGGATTCAGTCCGTATTCATCGATACTGTTGCGATAACAATAGTCAATCTTCGAACATTCGCCTCGGGATTTTATTGATATTTCTGAAATTGTTTCAATACGCAATTTTCTGTATATAATGCGTTAAGGGGATCATTTCATTTTATCTCTTTTTTACAAAGTCATTTTATTCTCTCAATTTTCCCAGAATGGAGAATGTGTGAAGAATAGAGTCAACATGATAAGAAAATTATTGAAAATCTCCATATTAATACACAATTTTCTATTTGTTAATTGAGCATTATCTCGACATTAATTTAATTATCTTGACAAAAAATCTCGACAAATTTTTTTTTTAACCATTCATCATGGACATTATTTATTATTCAATGGAATGAAATTTTCGACAAATGTTTTTTTTTGAAAATTATTACTGCCGAATTATTTATGAAAGAACATGAAGATTTCAAACAACGGATTCATTTCTACATCAGGACGAAATTATTATAATTATTCAAATTTGACTTTCCATTTTTGTCATGCATGTCGTGCATTTGGGATCAATAAATCCTATAAAAAAAAGTTTTACACTCACGATTTTTTTCATTCAGATTGTTGCACTTGAGGGCCTGTTCATTCGGCCACGTTTGATTGTCAGATCCACACACAGGCGAGTAAATTAAATCCGGATCACAATATACTCGTCCCGGAATGCACTTTCCTTCATGTACAATTGCAACTGAACAGAACAAATTGGATAGATTCATTAAAATCAGTAGTAAAATTGGAAAACGTAAGAATTCGACGGAATTTGCCTCGTTGTTCGTGGTAAAACCTCATTTTTTGAATTTCTAGTTTAAAAATGCCGTATGGACATTTTTTATCATGTTTAGAATTTTTTTTCGATGTCCGTTGGACTCCAGAGAATAAAATCATGGAAAAATAGTGTATTTCATCACTAGGGCGTAAAGTATAAGCGGGATTTTGCACTTTGCGTGCAAACGGTTTCGGTAGCAATCATTCTCCTTTATAGAAAAATTATAGGCAAAAATGGAGAAATTATTCACGTTCGCTAAGATAATTTTTGATGGGATGCAGAATACATTTTTTAGTTCCGGTACAAATCACCCTCACGTTCAGTAAATTTTCCGGGGCCAACGGAGCAGAATTCATGAATTCATAGTGAATTTCTGTCCTTTGAAGTAGAATTCACTAGGGGAGGGGAGGGCCAAATGGACCTCTAGGGCAAAACGGACCACTGACAGAAAATTGGTAATTTTTGTTTTTTTTGCTTTCCTTCAAATCAGGAACACGAATGTGTTGAATTAAAAGTGAGTTTCTTGGATCGTGACCATCACAGGGGTTTTATCGACAACAAGTGCCGTTGAACCGCAATTTAATCAGATTTGCTATAATCACCTCAAACCACAAATGACTTTGAATTTTTGTTTTTGCTTCCAAATGGAAATTCAATATCAATTTTCTGTCAGTGGTCTATTTTGCCCTGCCCTCCCTTATTAATCTCGCACTTTTTCTCCCATTTAAGGTGAAAAAATACTTCAAATGGAGGTTGCTCCACGATTACTTGACTTGTTTCGCAATTTTTCTCCAACTTTTTTCTCCGTGAATTCATCAAAGAACAATCAACAAACATAATGATAATTTATTAACCAATTCAAATGAGGCGGATCATTATCAAAATTTAGAAAAAGTAATTGAAGAGTACACTTACTGTCCGTTTTCTTCAAGTTATTGATGCAACCCAAAAATTTACTATTAGCGTAAGTTTTCCCATCAGTTCCACATACTTCACCACCTTCAACACTGCTATCATTAAGCTTAGCGCAATCTTCCTGAGGGTTCTCTGCCAATCCCCATTGAATCTCTAAGAGCAACAATAGAAACAGGAAGTTCAGAGATTTCAAATAACTATTATGACACATTTTGAACGGCGATTCGTGAGTCGTGTAATGCTGAAACGTATAATTATGCCGGTTTTATAAACTCCCCGGCTCTCCAAATCTGAGAGTCGTGCTTTTTTTATGGAATTAAGTCACAACTGTTTTGCTTAACCCAAGCAAATCTGGTTTACGTGTTTATCAGGTAAATTTTTTAGGTAACTCATTAGTCATTGAAATATCAGAGATTACACGGACAAAAGACTACCAGGAATTTTACCAGGAAAATTGCTAAACAATTTAGATAATCGGAGAGCGAAATGGATTCCAGGAATTTTTATTTTAAATCAAGAGAGAACATTTGAGGGAAGAGATAGTTGCCCTTTGTAACGTCATTTGCACGAACGAACAGTGAAATTTGTTAACTTTTAGTGGAAAATTACCAGAATGATGGCTAAATTTCACCGTAATTTTTGTGAATTTTTACTTCCACTGTTTAGTAATTTTTTAATGCCTTTTCCTGGTAATTTATCGTTGATTTTTTTTTTACGTGGACACGTATTTAATTTTATGTTGGGGTCATTTGTAGAGTTATCCCTAACAGTCAGCGCTATCTGTCGGAATTCTAAAAAATTTTAGATTTGTCTAGAAAATTCGAGAAAATTTTCTTGTTGTCTAGGCAATTTGAGAAAATTCTTTGGTTTTCTAGAAAATTCGAAAAAAATCTATGGTTTTACGGAAACTTCGAGAAAATTCTCAGATTTTTAGAACGTTTGGACATTTTTTGAAAAATTCAATTTGTGTCAATCCTTACAAAGAAAAGAATCTGTTACATGTAAACATGGACAGCGGTGAGAATTAAACATTGAAAAATTGCCAAACAAGCCATATAATCGGAGAGCGAAATGGATGTCAGGATTTTTGATATAAAACCAACGGAGAAAAATGTGACGCGAAGAATCAAGTTTCCATTTTTTAACGTGATTTTTCAGAAACGAACTGTAAAATTTTCGTCCTGTTAGTGAAAAGTACCCACAAGGCGGCTAAATTGGCACCTGCGTTTATCGCATTCTCACTTTACATTGTTTATAATTTTTCCCTTTCGTTTCCTGATAATTTTTCGTTGTTTCTTTCTTCACTGCAGCTTTTCATCCAAAAATAGGAATTATTTACATTCGTAGATAGTTTAAAAACAATTTTTATGAAAAGACGATTAACAACTGTCCGTTTTACCCCACGCTTCCCTAAATATTTATTTAATCAAAAGCCTTGAGGGCCCCATTTTCGTAGAACTTGAAAAGACTATAAAACTGTCATCATCTCATATTCGAATAGAAGTCGGAGTGATGCATTGACTATTTTGTACCCGTTATTCACTTCAATTGTGATACGAGAAAGTAATGCATGCTTAATCTTCTTTCTTTTGTTATTAATCTGTTCATTACATTCGCTGAAACAAATTCTTTTGTCATCATCACACGGTTTATTGTACAAAAGTAATGATGATGCATCATTTTAAATAATCTAGCTTATTGCGCTTGTTCGAGTTTTATCTGTACCGAGCGCTTGCTATTCGCACTTTCAGTAATTTCCATTGATTTCGTGCACTGAGAAAAAAATTAATCAATGGTTTTAAAGAGGATTCCTAAAAAACACACGGAGAGAAATTTTCTAGAAAAATTCTAATACGAGTACTGGAAAAAATCACAATCCACTGGCTGTGAAAAATTCTGGTGCTGTTAAGGTAAAATTTCTTGGTATTTCTGGTACAATTTCTGGGGATTTCTGTGAAATTTTTGCAGAAATACGGGGAAAAATTCAAGTTTTCCCCAATTAAATTTCTAGTGCCGGCACTGGAATTTTTTCCTGGCCGTCACTTTGCCCATCTTTTCCCATGCTAGCACTAGATTTTTCCTAAAAAATATCTCTCTGTGCAGTGATATGTCCCTTAAAATCAAAGTTTAATCTCTGTAAAAATAATTGAACATAAATGTTCAACATAAATGTTCAATTTTCCGTTTTGAGTCTCTCCCACATGCGCGGCCTAGGTACAATATAACTAAGCTTCCGTCACGGCGGCTTCTACGCGCGCATTCATCCGTTTGGCGCCCACCTGCGCACCCCAGTCACTTCCAAACGGTTTCGCGCAGTTGTCAACAAGTATCAGCATGTAGCGCTCGAACAATTGTTTAAAAATCGAAGAAAGATCAACTAGGCGCTTGAGATCACTCTAAATATTTTCGGTCGACTCTCTGAGAGATGGAGACCCCGGAGACCGAGGTCGAAACCCCCCTCGAGGATCAGGTGACGGATACTTCCGTCAATTCGAGGTTGGAACAGTCGCAGGACTCCCAGGAGGAGAATGACAGTGAACCGAGGGAAAAATTGTTAAAACTACCTGTTGGAAGGGTCAAACACATTGTCAAGTCTGATCCAGACGTCAGTTTGGTTAATCAGGAGGCGATTTTCCTCATCACAAAGTCTGCGGTAATTATTACAATCGAATATTAGAATTGAAAAAAAAACAAAAGCAGAAATTGAAGCACAATTTATTCTTCCAATTGAAAACAAGTTGGAAAATGGCTCCATATACCATAACTATTTTTGCTAATAAATTAGGAGTGTGCTGGAATCGTCATTTTCAACATCATTTTCTTCTATCCTACATCACTTTTTTTTAAATTATTTTGTTTAATTAAATATTTAATCTTCTCATTATATTTCTTTTCTGGTCAATTGTGTTAGATTTCTTGTGAAAATTCTTGTATAAATCGAATGAAAGAATCTCTATATTATCTTGAAACTTCGATAACGTGGTATTGGAAAACCTCTTTTCATTCATAATGGACTGAATTTAAACCATTAAATTTGAAGAAACTCTCACTTTCAGAGAAATTTTAGAAAAATTCGAAATTGCAGAAATTATTGTGAAAATCGAACCAACGAAAATCTTTTAACTTCAACAGGGTGGTATTGAGAAGAATTATTAAGCTATGATAGAATGTCAGTAGCGAAGAGGTTAAACGGTTCAAGTCGACATCGTTCTTAGCAGATTTTTCGATGAATATCTTCGAATCTAAGGGAGATAGCCAAATTTCCATAGTAACCTTTTTGTCGCTCTCAATTCGCTCTACAAAAACGGTCATGACGACAATTTAATCATCTCCCTCAGATTCGGAGATATTCCAAGTCAACTTGAATCTTTTCAACTCTTCACTACTGAAATATCTCTTAATATTTTCCTTTGAACTTGTTTCAGGAATTATTTATTGATTCATTATCAAAGGAGGCTTACAAATACACCTCCCAAGCGAAAAAGAAAACAGTTCAAAAGAAGGATTTGGACCAGGCGATTGATCACGTCGATTCCCTAGCCTTTCTCGAAGGGATGCTGGAGCAGATGATGTAAATTCCCTACTAAAAAATTAACCCAAGAATAAATATTTTTTATCGCCAAATACGACTCTAAAGAATCCTCCATCAGACCCTCCAAAACTTCCCCTGAAAATGACTGGTTAACCATTCAAAGGAAAAAAAGAACAACACAAAATTGCAAACTTCGAATTCACGTTTAATGATCATAATCTTCTCATTCTCAAGTGGAACGAGGAAAGAAAGAATCTCATAAATTGTCATTGCTTATCACTCGCAAAAGTCAGATACTTGAACATTAGTTGGGTGTTTCTGGTTGTAACATTATTCTGCAAAGCAATGTAATAAAAAAAATGGAGGGGAAAAACGAAAACTTAAAGGAGAGAAAGAGAGAAAATAAACAGCTGGAGTATTATGAGCCAAGTAATACGATGGGTGCAACTGTTGAGAAGAGATCAAGTCTTCATTTGCGTTTTGCTTTACGTCTGCGGCTTTCTTTCGAGGTTGGCTGTTCTGTCGTTGCTGTTGTACCACCAGTTTTACTGTGGTTGTAAAGATTGTTGAGGAAATCTTCAAGATCTGCGTCCCTGCGAATTCATAAAATTCAAAAACATGAATTTTGAGGATTGCAATTTCAATTCAATTTATTCTTTTGATGTTACGAAAATATTCTTTGTTTTACATCCCCACTAGCCTTTCTTCTCACCCCACTCAACTGTAATAGTGTTATTTAATTCAATATAATCTGAACGGAAAATTCTATTCAACCTATTTCATCAATTTGACAACTAGTGGAATTATGGGAAAACACCAGAAGTTTTTTGTTGTAGATAGCTTAATAATTAAGACTACTCAGTGAATATTACTTTGAACTATTTGATTTAAAAATGAATGTCAGAGAATATTTTTTGTAGTTCATGAAATTCTCTGTAAGAAAGATCTGACATTATCTTCTAAATTTACGAAATTGAGAAATCTCGAACTAATTTGGATTAATTCACGTCTGTCTGTGGATCTGGAGATTGTATCTCTAAATTAGTTTTACAAACATTTCTTTTAACTATTTGATCCCATAATTGGCTTAGGCCGTTGTTTCTCTAATAAATGCCAAATAAAAAATACAGAAAACTTCTGCCTTTCCATTCATAAAAAAATCTCCACTGTTTCATCATTTTATTTTGACACTTACGTTGCACCACCATCCACATGCTGTCTCCTCTTCCCACTGATACCCTGAGGTGGTGGCCTCTGTCCCAGAACAATTCTGTACTGCACATTGTGGGTATTAGCACGCAGATGTTTGAGATTACCAGCTTGACAGGCAGCCCAGTCGGTCACATCGTAAACAGCACCCTCCATGCACGCGTAGTAGTGCCAGAGGAAACCCATGACCCTAGATTCCGCCCAAATATCACCCTCCTTAGCACTGTGGCGTATCTTACACTGGGCACAGAATCGAGCAGCGTAGCAAGGCCTCTGCGTTGGTACACGTTTATGCCTCAATCCACAATTTGTACATCTAATCGTGTTCGCTGCTTGTTCCATTTTTCTGTGCAATTGGGATAGAAGATCACTCAACTCACCCCAGGCTGCCTCCACCTGACGAGTTTGATCGAATGCTTGTCTTCTTTCCTGGGAATAATAATTTAATATTAATAAATAAACAAAACATTGATAAATTTGCAAAATTATTTGATTTGAGAAAAGAAGTAATGAACGTCTAGTGATTATTATTGCGAAAATATTTGTGGAAAAGGGAGATTCAGAGCAAAATCTATTATTGAAATAATTGATGTTGATTTATAATAAAGTTCTGTTGAGAAAAGTTCTCTTAATTCAGATTGATAAATATAATTAATTCAGAGATATTTGTATTGCAAATTTAAGAGAGAAAATAATTCCTGAAGTCCAGTGATTAATTTCAGTTGTTGAAATTCAATAATTTTGAATATTTTACATATATATCTGCAACTAATCAATCGAGTCTTTTCTTGTTTCCAAAAATAGTTGCAAATTTATTTGATTTGAGAAAAAAAATTAGTCGACAATTCTCATTATTACTGGAAGAAGTGGATTTAAAGCAAAATGTTTCATTAAAACAATTGATGTTGATTTATAATAAATTTCTGTTAAACAAAAGTTCTCTCAATTCTTAGCGATGAATCGTAACTTCAAAGATATTTAAACAATTCAAGTGAGTTCTTAAAATTCAATAAATAATTCTGATTCCATAGATTCTGTAGTTATGAATATTTTGCATATCACTCCAATCAAACCAATCGAAATAAGTCACGAGACAGTTTTCTTCAAAACCCTGTCGTCAGGAGGAATTTCCAAAATAATCTGCAAATTCTCATTTCATCTGTCTCTAATCCCTGAATAATTAGTGCAAAAATAAATTAATCACTCACTGGTTCTCCAATGATATCGAACGCATGAACAAGTATCTTAAATGCCTCTTCGGCCCCAGGTTGACTGTTCTTATCAGGATGTACGAGAAAAGCCTGACGTTTGTAGTATTTTTTGATATCATCGTCTGAACAGGTGGGTGTCACCCCAAGTATGCTGTACGGATCCTTTCCCTTGCAAGCCAGCAGTCTTTTCATCGCCTCCTCACCAGTACTAGGCAGGGCAATGTTCGCTTCCAGTCCACCTTGCAACCAGTGTACATTATCATCCTTGTCGTCGTTTCTCTTAGATTTCAATCTTCGCCAAAATGCAAATCTACTGTTTCCAAATCTATCGTCAATCCTCTTGCCAATTGCATTCAGAAACCGAATCTTCGAGATTGCAGTGGACACGTAGGCCCATGAGTATTTCAGGTATAATACAGTATGAAACCACATGCACTTAACACTGAAAAATAAATTGTGAAAATTTTTTCAGATAATTTCAATGATTTTCCGAAATTGTAGAATTTTATTCAGAATTTTTCCCTGAGATTGAGAACACTGATGGGTTTAGAGGACGATATCAAAGGCTCTCTTAATAATTGAAGGAATTATAGAGGAGAAATGTCTTCAGACATTTTGCCTCTGAAACAATCCGCTGGAACGAGTCGGAAAAATTAAATAACTTTATTTTCCCAATATTTCTAATCAATAAGTTGATGAGAAAAATATAATGAGATCTCTCGAAATTTCAATGCAGTGAAAAGCCTCGAAGAATTTTTCCAGTTGAATAAAAATTATTAAAACATGTCACATTTTTTATGTAGCTGAAAAAAAATATTTAAAAAATTCTCTTGACATTTTCTTAATAATCAATAAAATTGACCAATGGTCAAAAACTACTCGAATCATTTTACTGCCTCGCTACAATTGTATACAACTGTCTTCATAAATATTCAATGCAGTAAATAATTCTCCCCAAAAATTCAAATCCCCGAATAACTAAAATGCAACCCCCAGAATTCTCAAACCCTCAAACGCCCCAAAAACCAAAATAAAAAGTACTAACAACCAAAAAAATATACTCACAACTGAATGACAAGATTAGTACTCATACTAACAACATCCGTGATAAGATGCAGAAGCCAATAAAACACCTTAAGCCCGACTTTGCTCCACCGGCTGGCATACTTATTAAAATTCTTGCACAAATCCTTAACAGGGCTCTCCCTGTTCTCCCTCTTCCTGTTCTTTCCCTTCTTCACGACCTTCTCCTTCTCCGGATGGAACCTCTTCCCCTTGTCCTTCTTCTTCTCCTCCTTCCCCTTGCCGCCCACCTGTAAATTCTTCTCCACCCTCTCCCCCGCGCCCTCATTCCCCAAATTATTATTAATCTGGAGTGGTCTCTTCTGAGTATTTCCCCCAGTCTTCCCCCCACTCTGAACTTTGCTATTATTCAACGTCTCATTCCTCTCGTTCTTCCTCGCAGTCTTGGACGTCTTCCTCTGGTCAGGTCTACTGAACCCATTCATATCGCTCCTCTCATGGCTCTCATTGCCCCCCAAATTGTCCAGCGAGACCCAACGTCTCGAGAGATTGGAGTTATTCTTCTCAAGACTCTTCTTGGCCACCTGATTCTTCGGTGATCCATGCTCATCACTCCCCGAGGAGTTCTGCCTCTTGAGCACTCCCGGCTTTCCCTTCGACCCCTTCGAGCTCTTCGACGTCTTCTTCAGGGTCGAGTCCACCTGGATCTTGCTCTGGGGAACGTTCAGGGGCGAGGGTGGAGGGGGCGCCGACTTGGTCAGCACTGACGAGTAACTCGGTCTCATGGGCTTCACCTCAGCCACCATTCGCGTTTTCTTCTGAATCTCCACGACCTTGGGCACCTCCTCCACCTCAGGTGACGAGTGAGGCACTGGTGTGACATTCGGCGAACCCCCGAAGGGACTGTACGTCCCCGATTGATTGGGCACCCAGTTACCAACGAGATTGTCAATCAATTGTTTTCCATTAGTCGTGGCACTCTGGAGATTGTGGTGAATTCTTTGATCGAATAAACCGTACTCTCTGTCCATAATCTGGTGGTTGGAGTAGGGGGACATGCTGGGGACCTCTTCGGGGACCATCTGGGAGGCATTTCCGTAGATAACGTTTATGAAGTTGCCGTTGCCCACGTCGATGGTGCCCACTAGGTCGTTGTTCTCGGTTATTCCCAGGTGATTGACGGTTTGAGGGGGAAAGTAGATGGGCTCCACTGGGGGAGAGTCGAAGGAGTCGGGCATGTAGATTGGGGGCTGCAGGGGGATTTGGGGGTGCGGGGAGGGGAGGTG